CTCCGCTCGGTTCCATCCCCGCGTAGTTGTCGTCTCCGATCAGGCCACCCCTCCACCCTTCCATCCTTTTCCATCCTTTTTCCCGAGGGCGTTGCCTGCTTCCTCGTCTTCCTCGTCTTTTCCAGATTTATTATTCTGCGACCACGCAATAAGATCCTGTATCTTTAATTGAATCCACCGTCTCAACTTTTCCATGAAACGTTACATGGACCAGATGAAAATTTGAAGTAAAACTAAAACTGAAATATTTTAGTAAAAATATATGATTTCATCTTTTTTTTTTTTATTGTTTGAAATTACCAGAAATAGAAAATTTACTATTTATTTTTCATTTTTGCATTTATATTAATCGAAATGCAAGAACGTGTTCGAGATAAATGCGTCGTATTTTTTATTTCTCATTTTTCGAGCCTTTAGAAAATATTGGATCCACAGTTGTAAATTCATATTTTCAACCTTTTCTTTTCTTTCTTCTTCGAGTTTGTTTGTTGATATTTGAGATTTTTTACAATTATACGATTCGGTATCGAGACAACGTTAAATATATCTTTCCTATAAACATTTGTTTATATTATTTCTAATAAAATATGAATCTTATAGAATTAAATTAAAATTAAATTTAACTAGAATTAATTGTAATAAAATTCGAAATGTTAATAACAAATGAAATAATAATCTACTTTTCAATAAACCTTAATATAATGAAAATTTTTGATTTTTTTAAAAAATAAGTTCGAATTTATTCGAGTTTAATCGATCGATCGATCAAAAATTGCCTGATGTAAACGGAATTTTACGCTACATTGATAAACGCTGACCCAAGAATTACTGTCATAAATCGCGATATATTTCACGCTGTCATGAAAAAAATTACATAACACTTAATTCATTCTTTTACGTGTCGAGTTTTCGACAGAGGCAGAGGAAAACGTAGCGTATCGCGTATAACATAACCTCTTGTGCTTTGTCATTAATTTGTATTCTCCTCGAGAATATTCGCTTGATACCACGTCCATGCTGTGAACGTGAGTCTTGTATCATAAAATATTAATTTTCTTGATAATTTCATTGATTTCCTCAAAGATAAACTGAATTATTAATAGACTAACTAAATAATAACAATATAGTGATTGTTTTAACGTTCTTGTTTACAATTTTACTTAAAAAAATATGATTTATCGCAAGTAATAAATTTGATTTATCTACGTGATTCGAACTGGCCACTGTTAACGATTTTTTGACGAGAAAAATTTTTAGTTGGAATAATAATGAAGGAAAAATCGCATGTGGGAAATGTCTTGTTCCTTCATGGTCCAGTTACTTTAGTACCTAAACACGTTTCAACTGAATGTAGGTTCCTTTTTATAAAAATTACTTGCGTCAGATTTACCGGTGCGAGGCATAAACAACTCGATTTTCACTATTTTTCGCAGTTTTTCTTTCAACTATACGAAATTGCAAAACGATATGAATAATTTCGCTTTTTAATAAATTTCAATAAAATATCCAAGTTAAAATATAATTAAACAAGAATAGTTGAATAAATAAGATAAATAAAAATTATACCAATAAAATCTAAAAAAATTTAAACAAATAAAATGATTAAATTGGATATAAATTAAACAAAACAAAAATAAAAAAAAATCAAATAAAAATATTAAATTCTTACGATTATCGAAATATATTTATTATGAGGTATGCATAATTGGTTGAAAAAAATTACAGATGCGACTCATATTGATTATATTATAAAGAAATTTATTCTCTTATAATATCAAATGTGATACGAATGACGTTTAACATCAAATATTTTGCAATTAAACGAATCTTTCATTTATATCGTATTTTTTACTATTCTGAAAAAAAAACAAAGAAGACCAATTACTTAATTACTTTTACTATAATTGTATTAAAAAAAAAATGTAAAAAATACATATCAAATACTTATCAAATTTAACAGATCGGAGTTAAATCAATCATTTTGTATTTATATACTATTCAATGAATTCCAAGAGATCATTTTAAATTTATATTCCTTTTAAATCTTTTTATGTTCCTAAATTTATTAAAAAAAATTAATCGAAACGATATAAATGTCATGTTAATATAATTATTCAACATTTATAATAATGTTTCATACATTTATTTAATTTTTACGTAAAATATACATATAAGTTGACCGTACGTTTAAATCATTCGTTATTACTAAATTAATCAATTATCGAATGCCAAATCTTAGATTCGTAACTTTAAGATTTCAAGAAACAATTTACATTAAATTCGTTTTCTTTCTACAAATTAGAAAGCATAGATTAACAATAATCGAGCTAAGTTTATCGATTATCGTATTATTCTAATCATAGATGACTATGAGTCACGTAATCTCGTATCGAGTTGACTGAAAAATATTTTATGAATTAATGCATGAGCAGTTGTAGTAATAAATGTATATACATACAGATCGAGACTCGAGACTCGTTCTGCGTTTAAATTTCATTTTAAATCGGGGAAACTTGCGAAATCGAGGCGAAACGGCTCTCAACTTATGACGTCCGTCTACTTTTTCACCTTAATCTTGGAAAATATGATCGAACAAATGAATCGCGCAAAAGTATTATTATTATTCTATTTCTATAAAATATAATAAATAAAATTACAATTAATATTAATGGTTGTAATAGAGTAGTATTACCGAATGAATTAATGCAGCAACTTTTTACGAGTATAAGGAAAACGAATTTAAATAAAATAAAATAAAATATTTTCAAATGAAATTTTATATAATCAATTTAAAAATCTTTCATAAATAATTTAAAATATTTTTTCTAATATTATTTTAAAAATTTTTTTCAATAAATAAAATATTTATTTTTAAAATTAAATTTATAATCTAAAATAAAATACAGTCTCTTGTTTTTATTTGCTATTTACTATTCAAAATAATATTTTATCTTGCCTATCATATATCCTCAAATTTATTGAGAACATATAATATTAATCGGTATCATTTCTTTTGATAGATCAGCGTAAGCAAAAAATAACATCTTCTCCATGAAATATACGTAATCTTTTCTTTTCTATTATAGTTTTTACGTAATCGTTTTATCGTTCAATCACATTTTCATAATTGCAAATTTGATGAATATAAAAGATATTTCATAATTTTTTTTTATTGAAAAATTAATTTTTCATTACTTTCATAATTTGTTCACGTTCTATAATTGCAGTTTACAATCGATATTTTTATGTACAAACTTTTATATTTGTTTTGGTCTATAGGTGTAAAAATGACTTTCCAAAGATATCCCACGAGTACAATAATATTCTGTAAAAGTGAAAAATTATGATTTAAAATTCGAAAAATTGGAAAAATTTTATTCACATGGGGAGAAAAAAAAATTATTTATTCACAGATCAATTATTAAAATGAGATCTATTTAAAAATTTGTTTAAATAGAGAAGAGAAAAAGATGATAAAAGAGAAAAGAGTAATAAAAAATAATGGATGTGTTAACGAATTCGAATCTCGAACCACATTGCAAACAATAAATAACAGGAATAAAAATTCTAATATAAAAATATAAAAGTAAATCTGTATATTTATTATATAGCCCTAAGTGAAAACAAATTTACAGCTATATGTAAGTGATACATGAGAAAAGATCAGATTAAATTGAAAGATTATTAAGTAACTTAATAAGAAATCAGCAAAATATATTTTAGCTTTCGATCTTCATCGACGTATTCTTATGCACATTTTCAGAAGTATTACATCAGAAGTATTAAATCTGCGTGGTAGAAATATTATATTTCTAGAAAATATTAATATATAGCAATTTATAAATATTCAGTGATCAAATATAAACACATTATAATTTCCTGATAAAATAAAATATAATTTCAATTGTTTTTGCAATTAATCCTAAAATATTCTGTTGATATGTAATCGTTCATACCAATTTATTAATTATCTCTTTAAATTTATTTCATTATTTTACATGTATTTAATTACATGTTCTACATTCGATCTATTTTCAATCATTTTTATAATTTCAAACACAGTTTAAAGGCTCGTATGAATATTATCCAATTCCGATTAATTTATAACAGAATAAAACATATTTTTAATCAAAATTGAACGTAATCTATTCACGAAGAAAATTTAATCTGTGAGTGTGAATTGAAAATTAGAGGAGAAAGAAAAAAAAACAGAAGATACTTACATATTACACTACACAGATGACATTTATCTTTCTATAGATACGAGCAATTGATGCAATCGTAATCTAATTTTTTTATATTATGATA